TAAGTTTTCTCCAATATCTTGTAGGTGTTGTTGTTGTTGTTGTTGTTTTGTTACTTTTTAAGAGATAGGGTCTTGTGCTATCCACCAGGCTGGAGTGCAGTTGCTGTCACAGCTCACTGCAGCCTCAAACTCCTGGTTTCATGCAATTGTCCTACCTCAGTTTCCTAAGTAGCTTGGATTATAGGCACGAGCCACCATGCCCAGCACAGGTACATTTATTATGCTATTTAAATGGTTTATGTTTTTAAATAGATAATTTAAATATTGATCTATTTATTGCTCATGTATACTTCTTTTCAACGGTTTTCACATCCTGAAACCTGCCAAATTGTTACTAATATCCTAGCAATTTATCTACATTTTTGTTTTCTTCCTTTCCAAAATTCACACTTTTTATTTTTCTTTCCAGCTTTATCACTGCAACTAGAACCTCCAGTACAACGTAAAGGAGAAGTTATAACACAATGAGCAGAAGGGTGTGATGCCATTCTTCCCTTATTCCTGGCTATGAATAGAAAAGTTTTTTTTAACACTTCATCATTGAGCTCAATCTTCATTCTAGGTTTTTTATAAATATCCCACATCAGATAACAGAAGTTCTCTTCTGTAACTACGTTGCAAAGAGGTTTTATCACAATAGCTGTTGAATTTTACTACGTCTTTATTATCTGTTGAAATGATCATGATTTTCTTCCTTTAATCTATTAATATAGTGAAATTACATGTTAAACCGATCTTGAATTCCTTGGGACAAACTCGATTTGAATATGAATAATCATCTTTTTATACTATGCTGAATTCTGTTTCTTAATGAGGATTATAATTTTTGCATCCATAATCATAAGGTTGGTATATAATTCTCCTGTCTTGTATTATCCTTAACAGACTTTTGGTATCAAAGTTATGATATCTTCATATGATTTGTAGAATACTGCCAATTGTTGGGTTTTTCTCTGCTATATTTTGAAATGGTTTAAGTAGGACTGAAATTATTCCTTGAATGTTTGGCAGAACTAGAGAGTTAAACCATATGGGTCTTTTCTTTATGGAAAGATTTTTGCCAACCAATTCAATTTCTTTTTTTTTTTTTTTGAGATGGAGTCTCACTCAGTCGCCCAGGCTGGAGTGCAGTGGCTCAATCCCGGCTCACTGCAAGCTCCGCCTCCCGGGTTCACACCATTCTCCTGCCTCAGCCTCCTGAGTAGCTGGGACTACAGGCGCCCGCCAGCACGCCTGGCTAATTTTTTGTATTTTTAGTAGAGACAGGGTTTCATCAATTTCTTAAATGACTATAGAATAATTCAAGTTTCCTATTTCTTCTTGACTCCATTTTAGTAAGTTATGTTTTCCAGACAATTTTCCAGTTTAGCATTTTTAAGTTTACTGGCATGGAGTTGTTCATTATATCCTATTAATACCTTATTAACTTCTGTAGCATTTTTCTTTCCTGGTATCACTTATATCTGCCCCCTCTCTTTTCTTCTTGATCATCTTGCTGGTATTTTGTCAGTTGTATTACTCTTCTTTAAAGTCATTCATTCAAAAATATTTATTTATATATACTATGCTTTGTATATGTCCAAAGTACAGTGAGCCACACTAGGAAGGTCAAAAGTGTCAAATGTTTCATCAACAACGTCAATGAAAAACAAAACAAAAACATTTCCTAGTCAAGATAATCAAAAATTATCTATATTGCTAGTAACTGTTTCAATTAATAACGTTATATTTTTAGAGCAACTTTAAGTTTACAGAAAAATCGACTGAAGGTTCCCACATACTCTCTCCTTCCACCCACCCAGTTTCCCCTATTATATCTATCTTGTATTAGTATATGGTGTGATATACTTGTTACAACTGATGAACCAATATTGATGCATTATGATTAATTAAAGTCCATAGTTTACATTAGGGTTCACTCTTTGTGTCTGTTAGCTGGGTTAATCTTTTCCAAAAACAAACTTCTGGCTTCATTGATCCTTTCTATAAAATGTCTATTTACTATTTCATTAATTTATGCTTTACTATTTCCTTTCATCTACTTATTTTAGAGTTATCGTACCTTCTCTAAATTCTCAAGTGGGGAAAATATAAGTATTTCATTATTTCACTCAACCTAGTTTTTTTCAGCCTCCTCTAGGTAGTATCTTGGGCCAGCTTCCCTCCCAACCCACACATCAATTCCCAAATTGACCTTCAACTCTACTGGGTCTACTCTGTGGATTCAATTTTACTTCTCTATCTCCTCTTCTCTTTGTTCTCTGTCACCTGATAAACCCTATTGATCATATCCTAAATTCATTATGGAAACGAATACATCTTTATTTTTCCACTGGCAAGTAAATTATTCCAAGCCCTTTCAACTCATAGCTACAAATAAAGATCTCTTTAATTTTATTTCCTCAAACACTATTTTCAGGCTAGGTGTGGTGGCTCACACCTGTAATTCTAGCACTTTGGGAAGTCAAGGCAGGAGGACTGCTTGAGCCCAGGAGTTCAAGATCAGCCTGGGGAACATGGCAAAATCCTATCTCTACAAAAAATTAGCCATGTGTGTTTGTGTGCACCTGTAGTCCCAGGTACCCAAGAGGAGGAGGTGGGAGGATCACCTGAGCCCAAGAGGGCGAGGCTGCAGTGAGCCATGCATGATCACACCACTGCACTCTAGCCTGGGCAACAGAAAGGGATCCTGTCTCAAAAACAAAAATCAAAAACCTACTATTTTCATCACAATCCTCAGGCACAAGCAGCTTTCCTTTGATACTTAGGTTACCTTTTAAGGTCTTCTATAATCTATTCTCCCTGCCAGTATGTTTACTCTGTCACTAGCCTCTAGGCAAATGCTCCACTCAAATAAAGCACAACACACAAGTTAGCCTTTATCTGTGTTATTTCTGACCACCTGGTAGTTTTTCGGTCTTCTCCTCAAACCACGCAGCTTATTCACCTAAAAGGAATCTCTTTCACTGTGAAATCTTCCAAAATTGTGTATCATTTGCTTGTTGCAAAAACTCACTTTTGCACTTATAAAATATTAATATAAAGCAATACAAAGCAATATAGAAGTAACTATTTTCTCATCAGCAATTTAATCTTGCAAAATGGATTGGCAGCTTTTAGATGCAAGAACAATGTTTTATACCCTTTTGGATCGCTAAAGAACACAGGAAATGGTTCATTACATTGTTGACTGAAATGCGACAAGTATTTATAAAATAAGAACATACCTTGCCTGCTAGGCGGCTAGAGATGATTCCATTGCTAGATATAAGACAGTCAGTCAGAGTAGTTTTTCCTGTTAAATAAAATAGGGACATCAATTCAAATCCATGTCTTTCTTAAAAGGGGTCATGGATCATACCTATAGATTTTAAATCTGGTCAGAAGAATTGGTTTAGTAAAGATTTTCAATTTACCTATGCTAGGTAACAAAAGACAAAACTTTTGAACAGAATATCATCAGGAAGGACATAGATGCTAGCACTCTATAATGCTGTAATCTTATCTCCAACCCTGAGGATCTAATCACCCTCATCTGAAAAGTTGTGAAGCAACTTAAAGACATTTCAAAAACAAAAAATTCAAGTTCTGGTTTAAAAAACAACATGACATACTATAAAGAAGAATGCTACTCACTAGGTAACTGTGTTCACTTCAAACGCTTTATAGCAAGGCAGGCTTCCCCAACATCACAGAAAACTTTTAAAGGAAAGAAGACTTGCTTCTTAGCAAACACCACTCTCAGCTGCCCACAGCTTCACTCCACTGAGACATACAGAGACACACCTCCCTTATTTATCAAAACAAGCACTTAAAAAGGATTCTTACCATGGTCAACGTGAGCCAAAACACAAATATTCCTGATGTTGGCAGTGTTTTTCTGGAGATGAATCATCTTATGCAAACTGTTGAGCACCATGGTTACTTATTTCCTGTGACTAAAAAGTAAGTATTAGCCCAGAGGCTAAAGGTCGGGGCAAAAGAAAAAAAATAATCAACGCTAGGAGGTGGCAAGGCTTCTCAAACCCCTTAAACTAAGAACCCAGTGAATGTTTATTGATGAGACACACCACCTAGGCCTAAGTCCCGTTCGAGCACCAAAGTCAATATCCTAGCACGATTACACTTAAGGAGTTTGCTCATCCTTCCGGATCCGAAGACTGCGATGAATCACGCAGCTCGAGGCGGCTGGGTGCACAGTGACACCAGTAACCCTGCCGGTGGAGGAGTACTCGGGTAAACTTCTCCAGGCCAATGACCACGTACAGGAAGGGTTGCATGCAGGAGGGAGGGAAGATGCTGAAGAAGATGCTCCCTTTCTCTCTTCAGTCTTCCCCCAAGTCCCTCATTCTGACATTCTCGCTAGTCCTCGCGGGAGGTCGAATACCCAGCTTTATTCCTGCCCACGGAGCCCGAACAAAGTTTTGGGTCACGTGCTTATTATCCAAGCAGGTGCACTGCCGGTCTTTCATTCCTTTCTAAACAAAAAGGAAAAACCTCTACACTACATGCCCTTCATTTCGGCAGGGTCCCGGATTCGTTCTCTTTGAGAATCGCTGGTCCACACAGACAGGCCACCGCCCCGGCCCCAGACTGGAAGCGACACTCCGGGAACCATCGCTCCCAGCCAGGGCTCGGTCCCAGGCCCCGTTCCCGCCTCAGAGCCGCAGCGAGCGGGGTCCTCCAAGCACCGCCCAGAGGCTGGCCGAGGAGGATGCAAGTTCCTAGCGCGAGCCCGCACTCACCGGAGGCAGCAGCCCCACCAGCCCAGCTTCTCCTCTCGGGTCGCAGCCAGCCACACCAAAAGCTTCCGAAACGCAAAGATCTCTGCGGTTTCCGCACGCCAGCGCGCCAGGGGGCGGGGCCGACTGACGCTCGACCTTTCACCCGCGTGTCTCTGACGCCACCGGAAGCCGGCGCCGGGTCTGTCACCAGGCATTCCTCTGTTGCCTTGACTACGGCGGGCGCTGTGGGAGTGGAGAAGCCGCAAGTGCTGAGGCAAGGTGGAGGAAGGCATGGGAGCCAAGAGCATGAGGAGCTGGTGTCTGTGTCAGATTTGTACCTGCGGGTAAGAAATGGCTGGTGTAGTGGCGGGCCTGGGCTTGGGAGCCGACCTAGGGCCTAGGTGCACGGAGCTGGCTCCTCGGGAACCCTGAGAATGGCCGTCCCCCGCAGATCAAGGGACGAGGACGCAGCGACATCCCCACTTATCCCGTTCCACGAATACTCGCTCCGCACCCGCCGGCTACCTGGGGGTAAAACGTTTCTTCGTAGCCCCTGAGACTCCCAATCAAGGATGCAAAGTAAAATGCCACCCAGGCCGGGTAAATAATATATGTGAAGCAGCGACGGGATATAAGACTGGTGAGTAGTGGGATGTGATCCGACTGGGAGAATGCATTTCCACCCCGTCATCCCTTACCACAAAGATGAGAAAGAACAGTGCTCAAGGCCCTGAGTCTGCAACCCATATCACACTTTCTTTCATCTGCTTTCTGTCCTCCCAGCCAGACCATATTCGCATTCCTGTCCCGTTCTTTGGGATCCGCCTGACTGAAAAGGCAGTATAGTAGTCCCCACCCTGAAACCTAGAATCCAACTGAGTCTTGCCTAACAACCTTCCATCACCTAGAAACACAGTTTTCTCCTTCCTCAGCTTCACTGTTGACCCAGGGATTAGATCATTATTTGCTAAGTAAATATGAAAGTGTCAATCCCTTCGTATTTGTAATCCCCTTCAAAGAAAACACCTGCATGTTGATGGAAAGCAGTTTTTTTGATAGTCTCATAATAAACACAGTTTGTAATTAGAAGTAGATTAAAATATCAACAAATTAACTTTGGGTGTATGAATCTGCAGACTGGTGTGCAGGAGACAATTTTTACTTTTTTCCTAATTTACATTCAACGCAAGTTCCTTTCTCATTCAACTGTTAGGAAATTCAGTCTTCATTATGTTGAGGGCTACCCTTGGAATGGTGTGATTTTACTTTTTCTTTGTTTTTGGTTGTGGTTGTTTTGTTTTTTAAGGGTTTTATTTTTATTTTTTGATAATGCAATAAATACACAAGAGGTGTCATAAAAATCCATAATATTGTAAAATATCTATATTATAAAACACTTTCATAATTCTATCTTCCACAGATAACAAATGTTCTTTAAGACTTGTTTTACATGTGCATTGATTTTTTTTTTTTTTTTGAGACAGAGTCTCACTCCGTCGCCAGGCTGCAGTGCAGTGGCGTAATCTCAGCTCATGTAGCAGGTGAAACCTAATTTCTATGTGGAACCTTTCTGCAAGAGCCTGGGAAATTCCCTATTAGTTTTTCAGCTTCTATAGTGTAACAAGACACTAAATTGTTATGAGACACTTAATTGCTGTGCTTCCACCACATAGGGATAGACCCTTATAGATTGTTTTTGTAAACATCATTACAGATGAAACAGTTTTTGGGTTTCTTTTGTTTTTGTTTTTGTTTTTTTTGAGACAGAGTCTTGCTGGGTCGCCCAGACTGGAGTGCAGTGGCACGATCTTGGCTCACTGCAAGCTCCGCCTCCCAGGTTCACGCCATTCCCCTGCCTCAGCCTCCCGAGTAGCTGGGACTAGAGACACCTGCCACCAAGCCCGGCTAATTTTTTTTGTATTTTTAGTAGAGACAGGGTTTCACCCTGTTAGTCAGGATGATCTCGATCTCCTGACTTTGTGATCCTCCCGCCTCAGCCTCCCAAAGTGCTGGGATTACAGGCGTGAGCTGCTGCACCCAGCCCAGTTTTTGGTTTTTCAGTAAAGCTCTAGAATTTAGAAACTGTGAGTTTATTGGAGGTCTCTGATTAAAATGCAATTACAACACAAAATGTTTTTTGAGGTTAATCTTTCCATTGATTTTTTGCACAGGCGACATCATTGTCCACATGGAATCACAAGGATTTATGAAAATTCTGGGGTGTTTTGCCCTACAACTGAATATTTGGAAAAATATCCCATGTATGACAATGTTCTTCCAGCTCAGAGTCTTAAACCCAAGCAAGTAATTCAAGCATGCTGTGGTAAAATAGAAGGAATAACTACATTTAAGTAAATATTTAGTAACTATTTGCTTTACTTATTTTTCTCCCAACTCTTCTGGTGTCAATAAAGTTTTCTAGCTATTTAAATTACTGTTTACTTGATTTAAGTTGAACCAATTTAATAGGCAACAGACTAGTTAAGTCACAACTTGAAAAAAAAAACAGAAAAATACGAATTAACTTAGGTTGACAAAGTGTGAGAAGAAAAAAGGGATATAAAAAGTTCTATTTTTTTTTTTTAACTTCCTAAAATATCTCATATTTATCTACTTTCCACTGTTACCACCACCTAGACCAGGGTGTCTTATCTTTTGGCTTCACTGGGCCACATTGGCAGAAGAATTGTCTTGGGCCACACGTAAAATACAATAACACCAACCATAGCTGATGAGCTAAAAAAAAAAAATTCACAGGAAAATCTCATAATGTTTTAAGGAAGTTTATGAATTTATGTTGGACCTCATTCAAAGCCGTCCTGGGCCACATGCAGCCCATAGGCTGCAGGTTGGACAAGCTTAACCTAGAGGTTATAATAATATCTGAATCTACTCTAGTTTTTGCAGTTTGATCTGTTTTCAATACTTCAGCCTGCCGAAATGATTTTAAAATGCAAACCAAACCCTATCACTTCTTTGCTTAAAATACCCTTAAGCTTTCCCATTGTGTTTAACACAAACCAGAATCCTTATCAAAACCATGTAGAGGCATGGTTTGCTCACTACTTAATTCTCTAATTCATTTTCACTGTAGTGGCCTTTTCACTTTTATGCTCTGTGCCATGGGCCATTTTTCATTTCCTTGAAAGTGCCAGGTTTCTGTTATCTCAGAGTCTTCCAAGATACTATTTTCCCTACCTGCAATTTTCCTTCCCTCTCTTAGCTAATGCTCATTCAATCTGTAGATGTCAACTAAATTGTCACTTGAATAAGCCTTCTCTGACACTTAATCCAGTTTTCAGATTAGGTAAAATTCTTCTATGTAAGCTCCCAAAGCACCTTCCTGTTATTTATCATTAGATTGGTTTCAGTGTTTCATGAAAGCAGGAACAAAGTCTTTTGTTATCTCAGCATTCTATTTTTAGAAAACTAATAACAATGCCCACTAGCACATAGTAGGTACCCAATATTTGTTCAGTGAGTGATGAACACAAATCTTCTTAAGCCTATACTTTTCATTTGGACTGACCTTTTTTGATCTCTCTGTATTTTTGTCAGTTAGCTAGATTATGTATTATATTTACTCATTATTTTATTTAAACTGTTAATGTATATACTATATTCAAGGTACAATCTTGATGTTAAGTATAAAAATGTCAATAAGTTTATGAACCCCAAATATCTGAGGTAGGTCTCAAGTTAATTTAGAAAGTTCATTTTGCCAAGGTTGAGGGTGCGTGCTGGTGACACAGCCTCAGGAGGTCCCAATAATATGTGCCGAAGGTGGTCAGAGCACAGTTTGGTTTTATACGTTTTAGGGAGACACACGTCAATCAACATGTATGTAAGATGAATATTGGTTTGTTCTGGAAAGGCAGGACAACTCAAAGCTGGGAGTGAGCTTGCAGGTCATAGGTAGATAAGAGACAAATGGTTGCATTCTTTTGAGTTTCTGATGAGCTTCTCCAAAGGAAGCAATCAGATACACATGTATCTCAGTGAGCAGAGGGGTGACTTTGAAGATAATGGGAGACAGGTTTGCCCTAAGCAGTTCCCAGCTTCACTTTTCCCCTTAGCTTAGTGATTTTGGGGCCCCAAGATTTATCTTCCTTTCACAAGTTGAAGTTCCTGCTTCCTAGTGACTTGTACATCATATTTCTATAATTTAGAGTTTTAAAAATGCTCTGTAACAGCTTTAGATTTTGGTGTTAGCCATTTTCATTTCAGATGCAGCTCATTCTTATATAGCAAAGATACAAACTTTCTTTTTTATTTATTTATTTATTTTTTAAATTATTATACTTTAAGCTTTCAAACTTTTAGTCTAATATTTCTATTTTTAACACTTCAGGCATTCCTTGCAGTAATAATGCTTTGGTGACTCTAGTTACTTGTGTAGGTGTATGGCTCTTCCACAGATGGAAGATTTTACTTAGTCCTCAGATTTTGGTATGCAGTAGTGCCATCTAGAAGTGTTACAATTGCAGATTCCAGGTCTCCATCTAAAAGAGCCAGTAGATAATAGAGTGGGTCTCAGGAAACTGCATTTTTAACCGGCATTGCTAGTGATTCTGTTGCCACTGATTCAGTGCAGTAGGTCAGGAACTGGACTGCTCACTGAGGATAACATGGAACATAAAACAGAGATGGTCTTTGCTTTACTGTTGTTTATAGTGTTGTGGGAAAGTCCAGATATGAAAATATCAGATAAATAACTAAGATAATTATGGATTATAATAAGTGAGATGAGGATATTCAATAACTGGTTGAGACTGATTAAATGGGAATGGTTGCTCTTTTTTCTTCACTTTATTAATATTTCTTTCTTGATGCCATAATGGTTCATATTAGAGATTTGAAATAAATTTTACAATATTTGTGTTTATTGAACAAAGATTTTGCTTTTAACCAGTTCTAAATGTAGAAATTGAGAAAATTTAACCTGCCATATCTTTCTTTTAAAAGGCAATTGCTTTTCAATTCTGAATTTCCCCAGTTGACTTATTCAAATAAGCTTTAATAATTAAAAAAAAAAAAGCAAGAAATGTCCCAAAGGTCCAAATATACCAATAAAACTAAAATATTCATTTCTTAAATTGTCATCTCTTCACTTAGTACGACATTGGATCTTTTCTTTATATTTTCACTGGGAAACTAGCAGTATTTCTAAGAGTCATAATCTAGAAGCTTGAAACTCTTGCTTGACTCCCTCATGTTGACTGTGTTGACTATGCAGTAGGAAGTGGATTTATCTGTACAAACAAAGAAGCATTCTGTACCTTTGTATAGTACAGGAAGTGACTGTGTAAAGAGGTGTCTGAACTTGTACAAGATTTTGGATCCTTTATTGTTGTAGCTCACTTAGATGACTGCCAGAGTTGGCAGGAAGCCTGCCCTGAAGGAGTAGGATTCTAGACACATCAAATGTTTCAGGATATATCAGATGAATAAGACTGCATTCACCCTCTACTACTACATAGAAAGCGGCTTTGGGTTTGGAGGTATACTTTCTAGCACTTAACTAGTCTAACTAGAGAAACTGAGAGTTCTAAGCTTTTGCTTTGCTTTTCCCTTCCTGATTCTCTCACTTCCTGACTGCATTTTAGCCTATTCCCCTCTAGTTAGTATTTGGGAAGAGCAAAGAACAACTGACATGTCTTGGGAGGCAGAGGTATATGATTTCTACTACTCTTCATTCATTAAATAAAAATTATTAGGCATTTGTTAAGCATCAAGCACTATACTAGACACCTGGGATACAGTGGTGATCAAAAGCAGTCATGATCTCTGTGCTGACAGATGTTGCAACCTATTAGAGATGGTAATCAAAAACATTACTCAAAATAAGTCTAAAATTGCAACAGTGATAAGATCTATGAAGGATAGGCACAGGTACCTTGACATCCAGAACAAGAGTTTGACTTTATCAGGGAAATAAGAAAAATAAGTCAAAACCTGAAGGATATTAAATTAGCTGGATTAAGAGGGGGAAGGAAATGCATTCCAAGCAGAGAGAGAGAGAGTAACATGTAGCAGGAAGGAGCATGGAAGGGAGAAAAGTATCAAAGAGGGCCAGCTGGAGCAGAGAAAGCAAGAGGAAGCGTGGTGAGAGCTGAGGCTAGTGAAGGAGACCAGGCAGAGCCTTTAAGCCATGTTCAGTGTCGTCTATGTCCTTACAGTAATAAGAAGCCATGAAAATTTTTCTGCTTTGTTTTTTTGGTAGAGGGTAGAGTTGGGGAGGAAGGAAGTTAAGGAAGAGGCCAGGGAGATAAGGGCAAGAATGACCTGATCAGATTTACACGGGGAAGAATTACTCAGGTGCCATGTGGAGAAAAGATTGGAGGGAGAACTAGAGTGGATGTGGGTAAATGAGTTTTGAAAGTTATTGAAGTGATTCAAGTGAGCTGTTGCAAAAACTTTGTATATTATGGTAGTGGCAGATGTAGAGAAAAGTGGTTAGATTTGAGAGAGATTTATGAGGCAAAATTGACAGTAGTTGATGATGGACTAGATAGGGGAGAGAATTGAAGTATGAAAGGCGAATCCTAGATTTCTGACTATGTGTCTGAAGCGATGGTGATAGCATTCACTCTAAATAGAGAACAAGCAAAAAGGATCACATTTATTAAGGGGAAATAATGAGTTGATTTGGGACATATTAAGTTTTGAGTTGCCACTGAATATCCAAGAGACCATCATAGATGCTGGTATGGAGCTCAGAGAAGAGGTCTAAGCTGAGATGTAAATTTGAGGGTTATTTCAATCTAGGTAGTAATCGAAGCTGTGGGAGTAGAAGAGTTATCCTCAGGAGTGAACAGTGGATGAAAAGAAGTATGTGTAGGTAGGTCCAAGTCTTGAGGAATGCTAACATGTATTTAATGACCGAGTAAAGGTAGATGAAGTTGTATAGGAGACTGGCAAGAAATAATAAGGAAGTCAGGAAGAGCAAGTTTCCTAGAAACAGACAGTGTGGACAATAATGTCAGTTACTACTAGAGAGGTCAAGTAAGATGAGGATTAAAAATGTTCGATGAATTTAATCACATGGAAGATATGGTGAACTTTAGAGCTGTATTAGGGAAGTGGCAGTCCTGGAAACCAGAGTGAAATGGATTGGAAGTGGTGAGAAAACAGTTAATTAGTCTAAGAAGTTATGTTGTAAATAGAAGAATTCAGTGAGGGGTTTGGGTTCTTTGGAGAACTTCCAGACATATGCAACAAATATTGATTAATACAAGATAGTTTAATCACAAAATGAGTGATGTGCCAATAGAGTCCAGAAGAAAAAAGCAATCCATGAAGTCTTGGGGTAGTAACAGTAGTGGCTACCATATTGATCTTACTATGTACCAAGCAGTCTTAAAAGCGTGTGTATATATCCTTAAAAACAACTCTGTGAGATAGAAGATATTATTGTCCCATATTATATATAAAGAAACTGGGGCATAAACAGGTTAATGAAGTTATCCAAGGGCCTGCAGCTAGTAAATGACAGAGCCAGGATTTGGACGTAGGCGGTCTGATCAGTCTAAGTTTGTGTTCTTCTCCATTCCTCAGTTTTTACCTCAGTGTCTGCAGTACTACTTCTGTCACATAATGTTATATAGCACCCAGGTTGGCTGCATTACCAGCTGGCATCAATCCATGACAAGGAATTCTGGGAGATCCAAAGATGAGGAACATTCATATCTATAATCTGAATGTGATTTATGTCTAAAGACCAGAGTTACCAATCATTTAACGATAAGCGAGAAAGCAGCATGAATTCAAAAAGAAGAAAGTATGCCAAAATAATTTGCTGGAGACTTTAAGTAGGATGAATAAGGACTTTGACAAAGTGGACTCAGGGGGAATATATTTTTTAAACTTTTCAGGTTTAGTAAATTTTACCTGAAATTACCTTCCAGGTTAGAAAAAAATCAATTACTTGAGGATATTGTTTACTGAAGATCCAATTAACTGAGATCTATTGTAATGATGTTTTAAAAACTAGGATTTTTGATATATTTACTTTTCTCAAGATATTTAGTCACTGGATAGGACCTTATGAAAATTCATTTACTTCTTTCAAGTAGTTTATCAACTATTATGATTTTAATTTCTTCTCAGACTTTCCAAGTAAAAAAAAAGCCTTGACATTTTCCATACTTCGTTGAAATAATTAGAAATAAAAGAACTCTTGAGGCTATGTTTCAAATTTATATATTTCCGGTTGGATTATCATCCTTATGAAATAGTTAAACAGCATCACCATGTGCCAGAAGAATATAAACCAAAACAAGAGAAGATTGATCTTGGTACTACCTACAAACGGGATTTTAATTCATACAAAGTGCAGCCTGTGGCAATAGTCTGACCTTTGGAGAGACAACAAGTTAAAAAAGGAAGGTTGGACACTGTCCCAACTTATAAAGGTAACTTGCCATTTCATAAATGAAGGAGCCAAAAAACTAAAATTCACTTCCAGCTTTAACATCTAGTATCAAATTATAACTTTGGTGTGCTGCCAAACTTAGCCTCCATGGCTTAGGAAAGAACATTTCTCTCTTTGGCAAAATAGTATTGTATAGTAACAAAAGAAAGTAGACCATTTGTCTGATTGAGAGGTAAAAGACCCACATTCCCATCCAAATTCATCTACTTTATTAGTTTTCGCTGTCTCAAAACGTGAAAAACAAAGAATGCCATTAAACAAGCATTATGTCACATTTGTCACTTCGTGTCACATTTAGTTGGCATTGTTCTTTTCTTCTTATCCTAGAAAAAGTTGAAATGCTTCCGAGAGTATTGGGATCTTTGAGGTCAAATAAATATCACTGCTTTTCTGTATTCAAGTCCTGAACCAACCTATAAAGCAAAAGAGTTACCAGATAGAGAAGCAAAATGTTACTTTTACACTGATAAAGGATAAAATAGAGAATGAAGCTTTCATCTGTAAGCAGGTGATTTCTGACACTGAACCTCAGAATTAGATAGGCTTATCTACCCCATGACAGACAGTGCCAAATGCGGTCCTGCTCCTCTAAGAATTCTGGCATGGTGGAAGGGTGTGAATACTTTCTCTTTGCAGGCAACTGACTTAGAGGAGTACGAGTTGAGCCATGTATGTTTTTCTTTCCAGAAACCTGTTTTTTTGTTGTGGTTGTTTTTGGGTTTTTTTGAGACAGAGTCTTGTTCTGTTGCCCAGGCTAGCGTGCAATGGCATGATCTTGGCCCCCTGCAACCTCCACCTCCTGGGTTAAAGCAATTATCCCACCTTAGCCTCCCAAGTACCTGGGATTACAGGTGCACACCACCACACCCAGCTAGTTTTTTGTATTTTTAGTAGAGATGGTGTTTCACCATGTTGGCCAGGCTAGTCACGAACTCCTGACCTCAAGTGATCCACCCACCTCAACCTCCCAAAGTGCTGGGATCAAAGGCGTGAGCCACTGCATCTGGTCCAAAAACCTGATTTTAAAATACTCTAATACTTTTGAGGAGTGGGGTCTTTGTTTTTTTAAAATAGGCTTTTTTTTTTTTTCCCAAAATGGAGGCTTACTCTGTTGCCCAGGCTGGAGTACAGTGGTGCAATCTTGGCTCACTGCAGCCTCTTTCTCCTGGGTTCAAGCAATTCTCCTGCCACAGCCTCCTGAGTAGCTGGGATTACAGGCATCCGCCACTACACCTGGCTAATTTTTGTACTTTTAGTAGAGATGGGGTTTCACCATGTTGGCCAGGCTGGTCTCGAACTCCTGACCTCAAGTGATCCACCCACCTCAGCCTCCCAAAGTGCTGGGATTAACAGGCATGACCACCGCACCTGGCCTAAAAATAGGCTATTTTAGGCTTATATTGATTTTGATGTATGATAGTAGGTATTATTTTTATATCTTTTTATTAATATAATTACATATATAGGATTACATTATTTCCATTGGTTATGTAAAATAGCTGAATGGATATGTCCTAATATAAAACACTTTTGTAAGAGTGATACCATCAATAATCAAAGTAATGATTCATACTTTATTTAGGTAATAGTTAAATGCATACTTTTTCTTTAAATTTCATGCCTGCCTGTTCAATGAGTAACTAAAGTGCAGGATATCAATATACTTTCATCTATAAGCCTACCTATTAGGGAGGTCAAGAAAATGTTTTTTCTGTTTTTTAAATCTTTGAGCACATAACATACTACACAAAGAACAAATTGTGAAGACTGTGAATGTTGAAGAAGTATAATTAAATGTAGCATAGAGCAATTGCTGATATAGATTGATATGCACAGGAGAAAATGTACTGTGTAAAATTTGACATAAAGAATAATTGATAAAGATGAATTTGGTCTTTTTTCATTTGTTTGTTTTTTGAGATGGAGTCTTGCTCTGTCACCCAGGCTAGAGTGTAGTAGCACGATCTCGGCTCACTGCAACGTCCGCCTCCCGAGTTCAAGCAATTCTTCTGCCTCAGCTTCCTGAGTAGCTAGGATTACAGGCATGAGCCACCACGCCTGGCTAATTTTTATATTTTTAGTAGAGACAGAGGTTCACCATGTTGGTCATGCTGGTCTTGAACTCCTCACCTTGCGATTCACCTGCCTCGGCCTCCCAAAGTGCTGGGATTACAGGCATGAGCCACGATATTTGGTCTCTTATACAGTCATATTAAGATTTTCTTTTTTTCTACAAGATCCATAAGAAATATACCAGTAATACTGTTGTCCCCTGATGCTGGGAACATGTACACATAACACACGTACACACTTATACCAACACTACTAGCTTTCCATGACCTGAGTTTCCTGTAGATTCCGATACTTCCACTCCTGTGGTTATAGTTAAAGCATAAGGAATTTTGAGTTCCTCTGGCATTCTCACTACTGAACTTTCTTAGCAAAGGTGATGTTTTGTATTTCAGGTTTTCAGGCATGAGACAACAAAAATACTAAGAGCCAAGGTTCTACTTCCATACTCTGTATGATTGTACTGCAGGTTTTGTAGATAACCTATTTAAGAACAATTCTGCAGCTGAAGAGAAGTCACAGTGGGAAGGTACTCTCACTGTCCTCCTTTGGGAGGCCAAGGTGGGTGAATCACAGGGTCAGCAGTTCGAGACCAGCCTGGCCAACATGGTGAAACCCCATCTCTACTAAAAATACAAAAAAATAGCTGGGCGTGATGGTAGGTGCCTGTAATCCCAGCTACTCAGGAGTCTGAGGCAGGAGAATCTCTTGAACCTGGGAGGTGGAATTGCAGTGCGCCAAGAACGCACCACTGCACTCCAGCCTGGGCAACAGTGCGTTACTTTGTCTCAAAAAAAAAAAAAAAAAAAAAAGGTATTTGAAATAAATGAAAATAGAGTCACAATATACCAAAACTTCTGGAATGTGGCAAAAGCAGGGTTAAGAGGAAAGTTTATAGTGCTAAATGCCTATATCAAAAAGATAGAAATAGCTCAAATTAACAACCTAACCTTGCAACTAAAAGTACTAGCAACATAATAACAAACTAAACCCAAAGCTAACAGAAGAAATAATTACAATCAGAGCAGAACTGAATGAAATGGAGACCCCCAAAACCATTCAAAGGATCAGTGAAGCAAAAAGTTCATTTTTGAAAAGATAAACAAGATGGATAAACCACTAGCTAGATTAACAAAAAAAGACATCCAAATAAGCACAATCAAAAATTACAAAAGTGGCATCACAATTGATCCCACAGAAATACAAAAGATGCTCAGAGAATATTATGAACATATCTATGTACACAAATTAGAAAGTCTAGAGGAAATAGATAAATTCCTGGAAACACAAATTCCCAAGATTGAACCAGGAAGAAACAAATCCTGAACAGATAATAATGAGTAAGGAAATTGAATCAGTTAAAAAAAAAAAAAAAAAAAAAAAAAAAAAAGAGCCGTGGACCAAATGGGTTCACAGCTGAATTCTACCAGACTACCAGACATAGAAAGAACAGCCGGTACCAACCCTACTGAAAGTACTCCAAAAAATTGAGGACGAGGGACTACTTCCTGGCTCACTCTATGAAACTAGTATGATCCTGATACCAAATTTGACAAAGACACAAAAAAGAAAACTACAGACCATTGTATCTGAACACAGATGCAAAAATCCTCAGAAAATACTAGCACACCAAATCCAGCAGCACATCAAAAACTTAATTCACCACAGTCAAGTGGGTTTTATTCCTGGGATACAAGGATTGTCCCACATATGCAAATCAATAAATGTGATTCACCACATAAACAGAATTAAAAACAAAAATCATATGTTCATCTCAGTAGATACAGAAAAAGCATTTGATAAAATCCAACATCCCTTCATGATAAAAACTCTCAAAAAAACTAGGCATTAAAGGAACATACCTCAAAATAATAAGAGCCATCTATGACAAGCCCACAGCCAACATCATACTGAATTGACAAAAAACTGGAAGCATTCCCTTTGAGAACTGGAATAAGACAAGGATGCCCACTCTTATCACTCATATTTAACATAGTGTTGGGAATGCTAATGTTGGAAATTATGTCTCTTCACTGACAATGTAATTTATACCTGGGAAGCCCTAAAGATTCTACCAAAAGACTCTTAGACCTAATAAATGAATTCAGCAAAGTCTCAGGATAAAAAAATCAATGCACAAAAATCAGTAGCACTTCTATACACCAGTAATCTTCAAGCTGGGAATCAAATCAAGAACATAATCCCGTTTACAATAGCCACACACACTCACAGTACCTGGGCATACATCTAATGAAGGAGGTGAATGATCTCTGTAAGGAGAAGGAAATCATAAACTATACAAATGGAAAAGCATTCTATGATCATGGATAGGAAGATTCAATATCTTTAAAATGTCATGCTACACAAAACAATCTACAAATTACATATATATATATATAACCATATGCAGAAGGATGAAACTGGACTCCTACCTCTCACTGTGTACCAAAATTAACTCAAGATGGAGTAAAGGCTTAAATGTAAGACCCCAAACTCTAAAAATCCTAAAAGAAAACCTAGGAAATACTCTTCTAGACATTGCCTTAGGCAAAGAATTTATATTTTAAGTGCTCAAAAGCAGATGCAATAAAAATTGACACATGGGTCTTAAACTAGAGAGTTTCTGCCCAGGAAGAAAAACTACCAACAAAGTTACAAACAAGTTACATAATAGAAAATATTCACAAACTATGCATCCAACAAAGGACTAATATCCAGAGTCTATAACTAAGTTAAATAAATCAACAAGAAAAGATAACATTAAAAGATGGGCAAAGGACATGAGAAGACAGTTCTTGAAAGAAAACGTACAAGTAACCAACAAACACGTGAAAATATTTTCAACATCACTTATCATCAGAGAGATGTAAATGAAAACCACAATGTGATACTATCTCATACCAGTCAGAA